GCATTATTTTTTTTATACGCCCCTTTTTATAACCAAACCAAAAAAGAAAACAGCAAACAATAAATAAATAAAAGCAAACTCATAATAGGATTTATAAGAATGTTCTAGAAACGTATCGAATAAGTAAAATAATTAAAATGAATGTGAATATGTATAAACACATACATGCATAAATAAATACTCACAGCTGGAAATCAAGCGTTATATTTTTTCTTTTTGCTAGGCATTTTCAATATATAAGTGTGTGTATTTATTTATCGAAAATAATTCTCGTTTTATATTTTCCTACCCTCCCCCCCTCCAATTTTTTTTTATTACCCCTTCCCGCTGTCACCGCATTTGATAAAAAAAAAGAAAAATGGCGGGAAAATAAAATTATTTAAAATTTAAAAAAAAAAAAAAAAAAAAAATCGATATTTAACTTTTACTATTGTTTATTATTATTATTATTATTATTATTATTATTATTTTTTATTTAATTTAATTATTTAAATGGGATTAATATAAATAAATAAAATTTAAAAAAATAAAAAAAAATAAAATTAATAGAAATTATTAATTTATTAAATGGTAATGATAATGATAATAATAATTGTTGATGATGATGATTATTATTATTATTATTATTTAAGTATTTGATTAATTATTATTATTATTATTATTATTATACGATTCTGTGATGTTATTAAAATTCCGAATAAAATAAAAAAATTTTATTGATTTTTTTTTTTTTTTTTATATTTTATGTAAAAAAAAATAAATAAATAAATAAAGTTGTAAACTTTTATGAATATATTTGTATATGTATTTGTAAAATTGTATAGATTAATAATAATAATAAAAAAATGAAAATATACTGCGTAAATATTGCGTCAAATAATTGTTTAAACAAAAACGACAACAACAACAAGCAAAACAAATTCCTCGAGTCGATCGGGGAATCCGTTAAAATCATTTAAATTATTATTATTATTACGGTCACTCTTTTAAGCGCGACAATCGAGATTTTTAAGCATTTATTCCAGGTTTCTACCCGACGATTCCTTAGGGATAAATGCTCGAATTCGTTGGTGCTATTTATAATATTATTATTATTATTATGATTTAATTTTTTTTGTATTGATACGTCACGTGTTTTGGTCGGAGTTTTTTTTTTTTGTTTTTTTTTTCCAAACGTTTATTTCAGGTTTCTGACCTCATCCCGGAGGAATGAATAAATGCTTTGTGTTGTCGTTAGGGATTTCATATGTTTAACATCCTTATCAATTACTGTAAGTTTCCCGAATGATAAGGACATTTAATGCGTGGAATAATCACGATGGAAAATTGTTTTTCAGATTAGAAGATGAGAAAATTGTTTTTCTCCTTCCTCCGCCATTTTTATATTCCTCGATGATGACGACACCGTTGTTTTTCCTACTTCGGAGATCATCCATCCAATCAAGTTGTACCAAAAGGTATTATTATTATTATTATTATTATTATTATTATTTATTAATTTGTTTTTTGGAAATTGGAAAATGGAAAAACAATGAACCATCGAACAAACAAATGTTACGAAACAAACAATGAAAAAATAAAAAAATTATTTTATATATATAATATATATATATTTAATATTTAATATTTGTTACAAAAATTTATTATTATTATCATTATTATCATTATTATCAGTATTATTATTATTATTAAACAACAAAAACATTTTAAGCCGTCGGATTTTATTATTATTAATAATTTTTTTTTTTTTTTTATTGAATTCATCGCTTTTTTTTATAATATTAAATAATAATTGAGCTAATTAGTTTGTTTGTTTGTTTATTCTACGTACAGCACATAAAATACAATCGAATTTTATTATTATTATTATTATTTATTTATTTATTTATTTATTTATTTATTATTATTATTATTCAATTTTTTTTTTTTAATTGAAATTGAAATTAAAATTTTTTTTTTGTCGCTGTTGACGCTCGAATGAATGCGGTTTGCACACGTCACGTGTTTTATAAAATTTATCGTCATTATTATTATTATTATTATTATTATTATCATTATTATTATTATTATTAATATTTTTAGCTAAAATTTAAATAACGTGTTTATTATTATTTATTTTTTTTTTTTTTTCGTTACGAGATCTGGAAAAAAAAAATTTTTTTAATTTTTTTATTTTTCTTGGTAGTTTGTGGTTGTTTCTGTGTTTGTTTTGTTTGTGTTTGTTTGTTTGTTTTACTTAAAAACTTTTTTAACATGGTAACAAATCGTCGTCGAATTGACTTATTTTTTTTTAACATACAAAAATTATTGCTCAAGCATAAAAAATAATTTTTTTTATATAATTCGATTAATTTTTTACGTTTTTTACGTTTTTTTTCGGTTGTTTTGTTTTTCCTGTTTGTCTGTTTGTTTGTTTGTATACGAATAGGCGCGAATTTTTAATTTTACCTTAAATTATTATTAAAATTCTAAAACTAATTAATTAATTAATTAATTAATAATTTATTTAGTCTAATAAGCAGTCGTCGTCGTCGTCGTCATCATCGTCATCGTTGTTGCCACCACACGTTGTCGTCACACGTTATGATGCATAAAACCAAATGGATCTTCGCTATTCCATAAATTTGCTGGAAAAAATAATAATAATGATAATGATAATAAATTGGAGATTGGATTCTAAAAAAAAAGGTAATGATAATAATAATAATAATACCTTTATAATACATTTCTTTATGCATTGTCGGACAGTTCTTGGCCTGGAATTTAAAAAAAAAAAAATTTATTAATTAAAAATATGCGTGTTTTTTCTTTTTTTTGACGTGGAAGTAGACAGAGTGTAAACAAACCTCGGATTTTGATTGAAAATCGATATTTGTTCGAACGGTTCGATGATGAAGGTTTTGTAATGGTCTTGCATTGTTACCTAATGGCGCTTTTGGCGTCTCTTCTGATCCCTGCATTAATTTTCTTAATTGATAAAGCTGGAAAAAGAAAAAAGGAAAAAAAATTTTTCGTTATTTCTTCTGCTTTCATTTCCGGTTTTTTTTGTTTTGTTTTGCCCCCGTTTTCAACCCTTTCGTTTTTTTTTTATTCTTTTGACGGTTACTTTGCGTGTTGTCGATGTAATTGTCGTAACAACCAACCAACGAACCAACTAACAATTTTATTTATTTCTTCTGCTTTTATTTATTTTAATTTAAAATCCTTCGTTCGTCTGTTTCGTAATCGTTTTTTCTTTTCTTCTTTTTTTTCTTCTAAATTAATTATTTATAAAAATCGATTGTTTTTTTTGTTTGTTTGTCTGTTTTAATTCTGTTTGTTCGTCATCGTTTGTATTAAAAAAAAAACTTTCGTCTTTTTCCGAAAATTATTTTTATGCATAAAAAAAAAAATTAAATCCGCTGCAGAAAAATCGAATTAATTTTACTAGAAAGAAAAGAAAAGCACTAAAAGATTTAAATTTAAAATACTAAAAAAAAAAAAAAAAAATGTCGGGGAAGAAGAAAAAAAAAAACTTTTCCGAAAAAAAAGATTTTGTTTTTATAAGTTTTAATGTAGAAAAAAAAAAAGATTAAATTTCACGAAACGAGGAAAAAAAATTTAAAAAAAAGGGAATTTTTTTTTTTTTTTTTTTTAATGTTGGCACCACGTAATTTAATAATTTTTTTTTTTTGTTATTTTTCCAACACTGGTTTTTAGCACGCATAAACGAGTTTTAAAGTGTATTAATGTGATTCTCTTATCATTTAATATTTACTCTTATGCGTTAATGTTATCACCATAACCGATGATGATAAGAGAGAGAGAGAGAGAGAGAGAGAGAAATTTTTCCCCCTTTCGTTCCTTAATTTTCCGACCCGAACGAAATTAATAATAATAATAATAATAACGGTAATAACCAAAACATCGATTATTATTATTATTACTTTCACGTTTCAATCAATATCAATTTAACAACAACAACAACAACATTATAACCGTGGAAGTGGTAAGGGAGGAAAAGGAAGGGGGGCATGATGATTACGTGAACGGTTTTTTAAAAAAAAAAGAAAATTTTCCCAAAACGCCCGCTAGCCCCCCCTCCCCCGCCCCCTTCTTACACAACCGAAATCATTATTATTATTATTATCTATTCTTTTCTTTGTTTAAATAACTGTCTTTTTTTATTATCATTATTTCTTTTTTTTTTTTTTTTATTAAAACGAAAAGAAAAGTTTTTTTCCCCTCTCTCTCTCTCTCTTTCTCTTTCTTACTTTCTTTTATTAATTATTATTATTATTATTATTATTATTTACGTCACGGATTGTTTTTATTAACTTTAAAATCTTAATATAAATTATTTTTACTAATATTCACGAGTGTTTTTTATTTTTTTTAATTTAAATAAAAAAAAATCGGGAGCGGGGGTGGGGGGAGGGGCGGTCGAATGAAAGGAGGGTACAGGTAAAGGTAAAAAAATGGCGGGGGGAGGGTAATTGGAAAGGGTATGAAAGTTTTTAAAAGGAGAAGAGGAGGTGAGATGAGAAAAGGTCGAGAAAGTTTTTTTATTTTGTTGCATTTAATTAAACGAACGACGATGATGAATGATGGGGGGCGGAGGGAGGGAGGGGGTGGTGATGATGGGTACGAGTACGGGCAGGAGAAGGCTCGAGGTAGCTAAAGGTCAATCAAGGTTGGAATCAAGGTCATATCGTAGGAATTTTCTTGCCTCTTGTTTGGTTATGTAAATTGGTTTGTTAAGTATTATCCAGACGGCCGTTTCCCAACATCCTGGATGCGTTGTTGAACCCTCATAAGTCATGTAATGTTCCGTATCCGGAAGTAGACTCCTCAATGACAGATGTCTGATTGGAGTATAGGCACCTGGAAAACGATGACGTCATATTAATTTTAATTTATTAAAAAAAAGTAAAAATTATTAAAATATTTTTTTACCTCTATAAAGTACTTTGTTAAATGTGCTCGTTATTATTCTTAATTCAGGATTAGGTGTCTCCCCAATCTGTTAAAACAAAAAAAAAAAAAAGGAATAATTTTATTGGTCGATCATTTTTGGAGGGAAATTTAAAAAAAAAAAAAAACAAAAAAATGGCGTCAAGAACGAAACGAAACGTTATAGGAAAATGTTTTTCGTTTTTTTTTAATTAATTTTTTTTTTTTTTTGTTAATTATTATTATTATTTTTTTTGTTAAATAAATTTGTCAGGGACGTAGGCAGGATTTAAACTTAAATAAAACTTTATTTAATCCGAGGAAAACCCTTAAAAAAAAAAAACATTTCGTGTATGAAAAAAGGAAAAAAGTTTTTTTTTTTTTTTTTTTTTTTAATATTAAAAATTCAGTCACGATAATTTTTTTTACAACAACAACAACAACCTCCCACCATGTTGGTTTTTTAATTCAAAAAAATAATTTATACGTAAAACAAACAACAAACAACAAATTTCTAATGATAATAAATTTTTTTTCAGTTTTACCTGAACCATTAAAGAAATTCCAACGACTCCCTGAGGTTTGTGCTGTGCTTCTGACATGTTATGATACAGCTCGGCATTAAATCCGTATAATTGAATCTGTAAGTATAAAATTAATGCTTGAATAATTTACGATTTGAAAAAAAAGAAAAACCGGAAACGGTTTTAAATTAATAAAAAAAAAAAGAGGAAAAGTGCGCAAACGATGAGCACCCAATTTTAAAAATTTTCTTTTTTTTTCTTTTTTTTTCGATGCGAAAATTTTTATTTATTTTTTAACCGATTAAATCGATATAAATTATAAAAAAAAAAAAAGTAAAGAGAGAGAGAGAGTAAGTAATAATGAAAGAAATAAAAGAAAGAGAAAGAGAGAGAGAGAAAGAAGGAGAGAGAATTGATTTAAAGTGCTTACTTTCATTGAACAGATCAAATAAATCAAATATAATCTTTGAGGTGTAAATTTCTTGCTCTCTGTTTTTTTTTTTCTTCTGCTTTTCCCTTTCCTTTTTCTTCTTTTTCTTCTTCTTCCTTTTTTTTTCTTCTGCTTCTTCTTTTTTTTTTTTTTTTTCAATATAATAACCGATCGAAAATATATCATTCATTTTGTTTTTCTCCCTCCCCCCCTTCTTTTTTTTTTAACTTTGATTTTACTTTATTGTTTTTTTTTGTTTTTTCTTAAATAAATAAATGATGACTTTTAAAGAAAAAAGGAAACGGAAACCGAACGAAAGAAAATAGGAAGTAGATAACAATAATAATAATAAAAAATTTACGCACACACGCGCGCGTGAAAAAAAAAAAAAATTGAATTTTTAATATTTTTATTATTGGAAAATTTTCACTTCGTTTTTATACTTTGTTAATTTTATTATTATTATTATTTTATTACTTCTCCCCTTTGTTTTCATCCCCCCTCTCTCTTTCTCTCTCTCTCTCTCTATCTCGATTAAAGAAAATTTTTTTTGTTTTGTTTTATCTTACCTCTCCTGGAAATGAATAACCGTGGATTTGATGTTCGGATCCCTGATGATTTTCAATACCGTAATGTATGTAAAATTCTTCGAATTGATACCTGTAGGCTAAGGGTCCCCCGGATATATTAACGTGATGTTTCGTTTCTTTATCTATTCTAAAAACCAAGGATTGACCCGTGTTTTGTAGGGTGCCGCTAACTTTATGCTTATCCAAATGTATGTGACGTAAAAATGGATCGAATAAAAGTTTATCAGGTTCGACGTTTATCGGTGACTGTCTCCTTCCTTTTGTGCAAAGGTTCCATTGTGGATTTATCAATCCCCAAAATCCAGGTCCTGTTTAAATTTAAATTAATTATTAATTCGACTAACCGGAAATAAATAAAAAAAGAAAACAATTAAATTTAATGGAAAAAATTGATTTTTTTATTTTTATTTTTTTGTCATCTTTTGTTATTATTATTATTATTATTATCATCATCATCATCGTGTTTTGGACAAGGTTTTGTAGTTAAAAAACAATTTTCCATTGCATGACTTTATATATAAATCATATATTCAATCAAATATAATAATAATAACAAGTTGTAATAAAGTTTAGGGAGGAGTCGCGAATCGAACGATGAAAAACTGTCCCCTAAGTTTTTTTTTTTAAAAAAGGAAAAACGTAAAAAGATGTTGGGAAAAGTTGGAGGGGGGAAAGGAAGGGAAGGGAGAGGGAAACGTAAGAAAGGTCATCACGTATACAAAATAATTCGAATTATTATTATTATTATTACTTATCGTGATAAAGGGTCTTACGATTTCAAAAAAAAAAAAACTTTTGGCAAAAACTTTTTTTCCTGGTCCCTCATTGTTTTTTTGTTGGGGGAGACGATATTACAAATTATCGGAAATTGATATTATTATTATTATCATTATTATTAATTTTTGATGTAAAATTTTTTCTTCCCCCCCCCCACCCCACTCCCCACGCCCGACTTTTTGTTTTTGTTTGTGGGATTAACGATTTTTTTTTTCGAAACAAACGAAAGAAAAGAAAAATAACAAGTGGCGACAAAATGACAAAAACGGCGGCGACAAAATGGCGACAATAAATTCGTACAGTTTTAAATAATAATAATAATAATAATAATGATAATAATGATGATGATGATGATTTTTTTTTTTTGAATTTGTTAAAGTTTAAATAAAATTTAAAATGATAGAAAAGAAAAAAAAAGAAAAAAAAGAAATTTTCTCTCTCCCTTCTCTTTCCTCTCTCACCCCAACACTCACCGCCCATGCCCCTCCCCCAAAAAAAAAGGAAAAAAATCTTTTTCGAAAAGGTTTTATTGTAAAAAAAAAACATTTTTTCGATGATGACTTAATAAAATAAAAAAAAAAAACAACTTGAAAAATTTTATTTATTTATTTATTTATGTTTGTTTTCATTCGCTCGCCTTAACGTTTTGATAAATAAATAAATTTCATAACTTTAGGGTTAAACAAAAAAAAAAAAGAAAATTTTATTAAATAAAATTTGATATTTTTATTTATGTATACATAAATCATTTTTACATGAGAGAGAGAAAGAAAGAGAGAAAAAGAACAAACAATAAAGTTGAAAAAAATTTTTTTTCTTTTTTTTTTTTTTTTTCAAAACAAAAACAAACAAATAAAATTTTTATTTATTTATTTATTTAAAAATCGTTTGTTTCATCATCATCATTATTATTTTTACAACTATAAAAATTAATAATATTTTATTAAAATAATAATAATAATAATGACAAGAATCAAAAAAAAAAAAAATGATAAAAATACCGGAACACGCAGTACAACTAACTACTTTGTTTTTTCTTTCTTTCTCCTTCCACGTCACAAAAAAAAAAATTATAAAGTTATACGTTACGTCATCAATCAAAAAATGCGAAATAAAATTTATTAATTAAAATAATAATAATAATAATAATAATAATAATAATAATAATAATAATAATTAATAATAATAATAATATAATAATAAAGGTATGAAATATATCTTTTGAACGTTTCTTTCTTTTTTTCTTTCCATTTTATTTCTTTTTATAATTTAATAATAATTATTATTCTATCGTAATTTTCCTTTGACGTATAAATAACTAATTAATATATGTAAAAATAGACGTAAACATTTTATTAATGAATGAATGTGAGAGAGAGAAAGAGAAAGAGAGAGAGAGGGAGAAAAAAAGTCAAAAGACACGTTGAACGTGTCGTAACATTTTATACAATTTAATTTTATTTACTTAACTAAATATTATTACTAAAGGAAACAAACGAATAAAAAAAAAGAGAGAAAAAACGTAATAAAATTCTCCTCACTCAACCTTAAACGTATTATCATTATTATCATCATCATCATCGTCGTCGTCGTCGTCGCATTCGTCTTCGTCGTATTTTAAAATATTTTTTTGTAAAATTGAGAAAATTTTAACCTTTTCATCATCATCATCATTCTCGTCTTTTCAAAGCAAAAAAAAATTAAATAAAGGAAAACATTATCATCATCATCATCATCATTATTATCGTCATCATCGTTAACGTTTTAATTTTCCCTCTTTTTAACGTAATGTTTTCAATTTTTCCTTTTTTTTTAAATACAAATTTAAATTATTATTACGTAATTAATTTTTAAATTTTTTCCCTTGTTTTAAATAATTATTATTATTATTATTATTATTAAATGACGTCATCACGTACTATCACTCTATTTTTATTCATTATTCTTTTCGTTCCATAAAAAAAAAAAAAAGCATTTTAAAATTTAAATATTATTATTATTTTAACTAAAGATATTTACACGTCATTTCATAGAATAATTAAAATCTCATTCGTTTTATTATTATTATTATTTGTTTACGTAAATTTTTTTTTTTTTTTTTTTTTTTTATGTATGTAAAATTATTTTTTTTTAAAATTTTCCCTTTTTCGCGTTTCGATATATCGAAAGTGTAAAAAAAAAAACCAAAAAAAGATAAAAAGAAAAAAAAAGAAAAAAAAAAAGGAGAAAGAAAAGGATAGGAAAGGATATGGAAAAGGAAAGAAAATTTTCAATGTCGGATATAACGGACGTTAACGTATCCCTTCGTCCATCCGAACTCGTAATAACCGCCATATCGAATTTACGCGGCGAAGTCGGTTCGTCGGCAAAGGAAATAACGAATTTCATATCGGAAAAATATGATATAGAAAAAGAAAAAGTCACAGAACCCGTTTGCAGAGCATTAGAACGCGGCGTTCGTTTCGGCGTTTTATCAGAGGGGAAAAAAGGTTTTTATCAATTGTACGATTTTAACAACGGTTTAAAAGATCGTAATAATCAGCAGAAGAATAACGAAGTCAGCACGAGTACTTGCAATAATATTATTAATAATAATAATACCGGTAATAAGAAATTTGATTTCGCCGAGGTAAGAAAATATGGGAGGGGTAAAAGAGTTACGATAAAACAACCCCCATCCTCGTGTAAGAAAAATAATAAAAATGGTGAAAATGGTAAAAATAAAAGGAAAGGAAATGCCGGACGAAATGGTAAAAGGAAAAAGAAAACAACAAATACAACAACGCCAACGCCAACAGCACCAACAGCACCAACAGCAACAACAGCAAACGGAAAAAGGAAAATGGAGAGTAATAAAAAATTTCAAGAATCCAAATTGTTAAGAGGAAGGAAACGTACGAAACAAAATAAATTAAAACAGATTAAAAAAATTCAACAACAAAAACGTAAAAAGAGTAAAAACATCACGTAGTTAGCAAAAGAAGAAGATGGAGATGGAGATGGAGAAGAAGAAGAAGAAAAAGAAAAGCGAACGGAAATAGCGAAAGGAATTTAAACCGGAAACGCGAAAAAACACACTCGAAAAGAAAAAAAAACAAGAAAAACGTTTTTTTTTTTTTGGTTTTTTTTTTTGTTTTATTCCGAAATTATTATTATTATTATTATTATTATTATTATCATTGTTACGTGGAAAAATCAATGTGTGAAATTTCATGATTCATTATTATTATTATTATTATTATTATCAAAATTTTTATAGCGTACAAAAAAAAAAATTTTCGTTTTATAGTGCTATAAATAATTTTTTTTTTTTTTAAATATAACACGTTAAAAATTCCGAATTTGTTTGTTTGTTTGTTTGTTTGTTACATGCACGTTTTCTCGGTTGTTCTATATTCGATTCGATGACAAAAGAAAATTTTATAGTAACAAACTATAAATTTTATAGTTAAAGTCATTCGTTTAAACTATAAAAACAAAAAAATAAAAATTTTTTAAATCGATTTAGAGTATGAAATCATCATCATCATCATCATCATTATCATCATCGGTGGTTTTTTTTATAGACTAACAACCATAAATTTTTTCGCTATAATTTTTCCGCTTTAAAAGGTGATGAGAGGGAGGGGGGAAGAAAAACTTTTTTTTTTTTTAAATTTTTTTATTTATTAATAATTAATTAATTGATTGATTTTATTTCGGCGAGAGGGTGTGGGGCGGGTTTTTTTTTTGTGTATCCACCTTCCCCCTCCCCGCGCGACGTTTTCACGTGATTTGGTTTTTATTATTCATCCTTAATTAATTTTCTTTTGTTTATATTTAAAAAAAAAAAAAGAAAAGAAAAGTTTAGCAGAAGACAAAAAAAAAAGAAAAAAATTTAAAAGTTTTCGTTTAAAAAAAAATTTTTCTTTTTTTTATTTTTTGCTCTTTATTTCTTTCTTAAAAAATTTGTCTTTCCCTTTTTTCTCTCTCTCTTTCTTTTCTTTTTGTTCTTATCCCCCCCTCTCTCTCTCTTTTTTTTTTGTTTTATTAATTAATTCGTTGTCATTTTTTCAAAAAAAAAAAAAAAAAGTTGAATTGTCGTGTTCAAAAAAAAAATGAAAGGAATTTTTTTTTTTGCGGTTCGTTCTTCATTACTTATTTTACAATAATAATAATAATAATAATAATAATAATAATAATAATTAAAAATTTGATCGTTGTTATGACAACTAAAATAAAAAAAGAAAAGTTTTTTTTTTTTTTTTTTTTTTTAATGGAAATCTCATCATCGTCATCATCATCATCGTTATTATTATTTTTTTTTCTTTTAAAACTTTTTTTCTTTTTTTTTTTTTTTTTTTTTTTTTTGTTCAAACGAATCCCAATTTAAAAACTTTAAAAAAAAAAAATTTTAATAATAATAATAATAATGATAATAATGAATGAGAGAGAGAAAGAGAGAGAGAGAGGGGAGAAAAAGAAAAAAAAAAAAAGGAAAAAAAAAGTTTTCATAAATTCTTATTCACAATTCATGACCGGGATGACAATACAAAAAAAAAAAAAAAAAATTCCGCTTGTCTCAGACATAAAGAGAAAAACGATCACGTGTTTTTCCCCCCCACCCGCCGTCGCAAACGATCACGTGATCGCGCCAAAATTTAAAATTATTCACATCGGTATCAATATTAAATAATAAAAAAAAAAAATAAAATCGATAAATCATCATCTTCATCGGTTGCCGATTGATAAACTCGAAAATAATTTAATAATAATAATGATGATGATAATAATGATAATAATACGTAATTAAATAGCATTAATAAATAAATAAATACATAAGTTTATTATGTTTATTAGAGTGTTTATTATTAATCCGTAATAAATAATTTTATTATATTATTATTAATAAACTATCGTATAATGGATTTAACTATTCTTGACTTTAACAACGTACGGATAATAATAATAATAATAATAATAATAATAATGATGATGATGATAATAATACGTATGTTATAATGAAAAGGAGGTTTTATTTATTAAATAATAATAATAATAATCCTTATTTTAATAATTACTTTAAGATAATAAAGAATATTAAATACCTTCAACACGAAAACTTTTTTTTGTTTTTGTTTTTATTTGTTTGTTGTCTTCTGCTGTTTTTGCTTACGTCATAAAAACGGTAAACAATGAGAAAAATTTTAAAATCGAAGAAGTCGATTTTTTTATTTTTTATTAAGAGTTTTTAAGTTTTTTTTTTTTTATTAATAATATTGTTTGTAGGATCGTGATGAGAATTGTTTGTTTGTTTGTTTTTGTGGTTGTTGTTGTTGTCTCGGAGGTGGTGGGTGAGAATTGGTGAGTTTTTAATAATTTTTCGTGAGTTTAATTAAACGAATTTAATGAGACAAAAAAAAAAAAATAGGAAAAACTTTTTTTTTTTGAAACTTTTCCAATTGTTTCAAATCTTTTTCTTTTTTCTCCCTCCCCCTCCCCTCACCTCACCACTTCCTCAAATATCATCCTATCTAATCGTCACACCCTGGATGAAAATGCGATTCGCGCACAATCAAACACACAGAAAGAATTAAACTTAAATTTTTTTTTTTTTACTTCATTTGGCAAAAAGTTTTTTTTTTTTTTTTTAAAATGTAATAAAGGAAAAGAACAAATTTTTTTTCATTAGTTAAAAAAAATTAATCAAGAGAGTTCAAAGTTCAATTGCCATTTTAAAAGTAGAAAAGATAATTTTTATTTTAAAGAGAAAGAAAGAGAGGAAAAGGAAGGGGTAAAAGGGTTTTAAAAAAAAAAAAAGGGAAAAAAAATTGAAAATAATTAAAAGATTTTAAGAATTTAATTTTTTTCTTTTTTTTCCGGGAGGAGACGGGAAGGAAGGAGGGATGATAGAAGGGGGGAAAGGGTAAAATTGGCAAAAGGAAATTTTAATTTTGTCATGAGAAAAAGAAAGAAAAATGAGGGGAGAGATTTCGAGGGGCGGGAGAGGCGAATCACATAACGAAATTTTTTTTTTAATTTTGTATATTTTGTGGTTTTTTAAAGATTTTTCCAGAAGGAAATTTTCTCTTTTTTTTTTTGTTAATATTGGTACTCCTGTAAAAAGAAAAAATATCTGTCGTGGACAAGAATTATCAAAAACATAACAAAAACCATGTGACCAAAAAAAAAAAAAAAAATCAAAAAATTCGATTTATTTTAGTTAATTTTACGCTGCGAGAAAAAAACGTCATTTTCAGAAAAAAAAGTTTTCATCTGGAAAATTCCATACCCCCAAAAAAACAAAAAAAAATTTTCTTGTTTTTCTATTTCTTCCTCTTCTTCTTTTCCAGTAAAAGATTATAAATAGTAATAATAATAATAATAATAATCCGATGGAAAATCGAATCAACACTAATAACAATCCACACGATGAATTTTTACTTTAAAAATCGTAAACAAATCCGCCATATTTTTTTTTTACAAAACCGGAAGTAATCGCGTTCTAAATAGTAGTGGTAATTTCAAATAAGACGATGACGAGAGGGGAGGAGGAAAAAAAGGAAACAAACTCGACATTTTGTTTTTTTATTCGGTTTGTTTGTTGACACAAAAACAAACGTTGCGTTTTTTTTTTCTGTCTTCCTTTTCCCCTCTTCTCTCTTTCGTATCACCGAGTGAGGGGGGGGGGGTTTTGTTCCCTTTTTGGAAAAAGTTTTTACGACGTGAAAAAAAAAAAAAATTTAATTACTTAAGCCTGGCTTTCAGTTTTTCTCCAGTAATTAAATTATTCTTTTTTTTTTTTTTTACAACATTAGGCCTATTAAATTTAGGTTTTTTTATTTTTTTGATAAATTAAATTAGTACTCGTTAGTCAATTAAGGACCTTTTTTTAACCATTTCCTACGTAGGTGTTATTCTCGGACTCGTTTACCCTCCCCCTCTCCCCCTCATTTATTTCTCTCGCCCCTTCCCCCCCCTAAAAAAAAAAAAACGAAATCAGATCTCATCGTAAAAAGGCGATGATTTCAAAATAAAAATTAAATATCATAGTTTTATTAATCATTATTATTATCATCTGGGAAATTCCAACGTTTTTCACCCTCCCCTCACTCCTCCGATCCTTTCCCTCCGGTTCCCCCTTAAAATTTGATAAATAATGTAGTCGTTACAATTGTTTTGTTAAATCGAAAAAAATCGAAATTTTTTTTTTGTAATGACGTCCTTAAAAAAAAATTTTCTACGATTATTTCTCCAGTTTTTCTTTTTTTTTTGTTTTTCCAGAAAGTTCTCCTGTAATGTGATTTGAAAAAATAAAATAAATTTTCCCGATGTTAAATAGCCCCGTGCAAATAACAAACAACAAAAAAAAAAATTTTTTTTTTTTTTTTTGTAATTTGAACTTTTTCAAATTATCATTTTCCAGTCTCTTCCAATTTTTTTTTTCTCCAGTTTTTATTCTTTTTATTCATTCATCCGTAAGGAAAAAACAAAAACAACAACAAAATGTCTGGAATTTTTTTTCCTCTTTTTTTTTTTTATTTTTAAAGTTTATAAAAAGAAAAAAAAAAAAAAATTTCACATAAAGAAATTGACTTTTTGTTTCGATTTTTTTTTTATTTACTAAACATCCGGTTTATTAAATATATCTATATCCGGAATTTAAATTTTAAAAAATTTTGGCGCCATTTTTAAATTTTGGTATGACGCTAAAATTAAAACCTCAAAAAATTTTTTCGTCTTTCAGATATCGTCCGAATTTTTATTATTTCCTCTCCCACTCCCCCTCCTTTCTCATTCCCTTTTAAGGGGGAGTTTTTCCGATACCAACCTAACAAAAAAAAATTATTATTATTATTATTAAACTTACAGAAATTTTTATAACGCGTAACGATTATAGTGATTGAAGCGGGAAAACGCATACATACAAAATGGCGTCGGTTGTTCGTAAACGATAAATCAAGAAATGGGGGG